AGTGACTCGCATCAAACCCTTCGGCTTCCAGACCTCCATTTTAGCGTCTCAAGGCTTTAGAGAAGCTCAGACAGAAAAGCAGTGACTGGTAACGCGGGTCACACGCTTTGTTACAAGCGCAGATAATGAGTGGGTATGAGGGAAAAATCCCATTTCTCCCATATCCCAGTGAACCGCAGCCCCCTCCAGAGCTGCTGTGCAGAGGCCCTCGCACCCCCGAGCAGTGCAGGAGGCACAGAATCACAGAATGTCAGGGATCGGAAGGGACCTCAAAGGATCATCTAGTCCAATCCCCCTGCCGGAGCAGGACCACCTACATCAGATCACACAAGAACACGTGCAGGAGGGTTTGGGACATCTCCAGAGAAGGAGCCTCCACAACCTCTCTGGGCAGCCTGTTCCAGTGTTCTGGTACCCTTACTGGGAAAAAGTTCTTCCTCACGTTTAAGTGGAACCTCCTATGTTCCAGCTTGTCACCCCGTGACAAGCAGCACTGACACGTTATCCCTTCGCTGGCTCCCACAGCGAGCGCCAGACTTCCCAGGGTAAGTTTCCAGCATCCCCCAGAGTGGCAGAAAACACACCTGAGCGCCAGGAATGCTGAGTGCCACAACGCTGCAGCAGCAGAGATGAGAGTTTCCAAGGGCGATTTTTCACGCTCAGGAACATTAGTCACAGCAGCTCTGAAAAAGTTTCTGCAGCAGTTTCGCTGCTGAGTTCAAATGATAGAAAGAAAGAGGAGAAAGGAGTCAAGCAACTACAGCTATCCCAAGTCCAGCAAGCTGGATGGGTGTTCTCACTTCCAGCTTCCAGAGGACTGCAACAAACTAGAGTGAGGACAGATCCTACAAATAATGCACCAGGCTCCCTTTTAAGCACAGGGAGAAGGTAAGCACTTTCATTTCCATATGGAGGTGTGACATCCAAAGGACTCTACCCCAGCAGCAGGCAGTGCACAGAGCAGCAGACTCCAGTATTTAGAAGGAGTATTTTAAATAAGGAGCAGAACGACACACAGTTCCCTTCCCAGATGTTACCATACAGGCTCAGCAAAGACTTCAAGTTCTAGCACGAGGCAAATAGTCAGAGCTGACCCAACACTGTTCTGGGGCATCAGATCCCTTTTTCTGTGCTCAGCTATTGTACAGGGCTCTGCACAGGAGTTTTGTGTATGTCCCTGTGAAGGTCATTCATGTTTTCAGTTAGTTTCACTCTTAAAAATCAGGGACTGCAGAACTGGTGGAGGAAGCAGTGCTGTTGCTGATACAAGGTCTTCTACCTTTCTTACAGGGGGAACCACAAACTGCCCAGGTCTAAACTGCAAGAGAAAGAAGCTCTGACTTCGGCTTTTAAAAGTGTTTATTGATGGTTTTTAGATGGAATGATGGCGCAATAGTGCAAACCACTGTGCACTCCCTTCCCAGCTTCACATTTACTTTATTGTACAGGAGACATGGAATAAGGATGGGTCAGTATGCTGCATTTACCACACTCTGTTGGGCTTTGGACAGATTCCTGTTCCCTCAGTGCATGTCAGTTCAGAGCTACATCAAAGCGGAGAGCGGCTGCTACCTTCTGTCCAGCTCAACCAGCAAGACAGTGGCAACTTTTTCATTTGCACGCACGTCCTCAGTCTGAAAAACCTAGCACTTCATTCAGGCAGTTTCTGCACTTTCTGTCTCATAAAGAATAGAAAATACTAGATGTTCACAAGCCACACATATTTACCAGTACACTACAAGCGAGCTTCAAGAGTACTTCTTCAGAAGCAAGATTTCAGCTAATACTCATCTATCTTGCCAGCTTGTAAACTTAGGTGCCCACGTCCTCATCTTTGTGCTTCCCTAGAAGTTTCTGCAAACAATTAGGAGGGAGTAGCTAAACTAGTGCTAGTAGTATTCCTAGTGCTTGAGAGTCAGCATTGGAAAAGATTTATTTGTCCAATAAAAACCACCAGCTAGTTTCTCTAAAAATCTAACAATGCAACTTTCTAAGTCAAAGAACATCCTGTCCTCAAATGATGCATTTTGGAAAAAAACAACCCCAACCATGCTCAAAAAATTGATAACGAACGTGTCTCAAGGCTAAACTGACTAGCATGCAGTGGTTCCGACTATCATCCATGCATACTTCTTGCTTTTCAAATCTGTAACAACATCTTTCTCCCCAAGAGAATCCAGAACCACAGCCGCTTGGAGACTAATAAAACCACGAGACAGATACTGGAGACTTTAGAAACTGGTGGATTAAAGTAATGTGAATGAGTGTTGTGCCCTCTTTGAATGTCATTCTTATTCCAGCCCAACACAGTTACCTACACATATAAAATGTTCAAGTTGTGCCACTTGTCAGAACCAAGACATCTCCAATTATAGATCACACTTCAGCATACAGTTGGGACAGGGAATAATACATTACAGAAAACAAAACCACAAGATTTTTAGTTACATAAACCAATATAATTTGTATATAAACTGATAAATACTGTCTCTATGGTTCACGAATTCCAAATACTAGTTATCTGCACATTAGTTGCTAATATCTATTACTAGAAGTAGTTCCAGCTTGTGCTCTCTCAGGGTGGTCAATTCATTTCCAAAACCAGTCAGCCTGTTCACTCTGAGGGGAAAAAAAATCTCAGCAACGAGACTAGGTTCCATGTGAAGATTTCGTTGTCTGCCAGATAATGAATCCTATGATTATAAAAGCCACAGCAAGACCAAGAATCAGGATACACATCTTCTTACGGGATTTCTTCTAATAAAAGAAGGAAAAAAAAAAGCCACTGACACCAGGAATAGATGACAAGAGGAAAGAGCAAGTCTCCCAGTCAATGTTACTAACTTTGGTGAACTAGAGCACTTGATATTCATACTTAACTCAGGTAACCAGTGTGGCCTGAACACTTTTACATGTTCCTTAAACTGCATGATCCTACAGATAAATGTTTTTAGTTTTAGGAGCACAGTGATCCAAGAGATGCAGTTATGTCAAAATGTGACAAGTTTTGCTTCTCTTACGGAAAATGCAAGTTTTACTTCAAGTTAGCTACAAAAAGAGAACTTGACAACACTTACCACATGCTTTAATTGCTAAGGCACAACACTATGGCTTCAAAGAAAAGCCAAGCATCTCTAGCTGTTTAGGTTTTCCAGGTAAGACTAATAAAACCACTAAGCAGTTCTCCGATACAACCTCCCCTTGGCCACTTGGTGTGGAAATAGTATTGCATTTCCACAGTTTAACTGATTGAATATACAGTTACTGCACCTGGATTTTGCAGCTTTGATCTCTTTATTCATCATAGGGAACTACAGTCTGTTCGTAGACACCAAGTATTTCTAACATAGTATCTAAGGATTTGAGGATAGCAATATATAACCATTCCCTTCTCCACCCAGAAAAACACATCCAATGCATGTCCAATAGCTCCCAAACTTACATTGTCAAAATACCTCAACACTTTACAAAGGAAGCCATGGAGAGAGAGCATACTACTAAATGCTGCCAGATGGTAAAAGCTACTTTCCCTCTCTTGTGCTAACCAGCACCAGAGTTTTAATGCCTTCTACTACCTCCTCACTTAAAAAATTGGACTCTTTCAAGGTGTTATCTTGTGTGAAAGCCTGAAGTCCCACCAGTGAAATCCTGTATGAGACTGACTGAAGCAGAATCCTTGTTCCTTCACAAAACCTGAACCTGCAGGGACTATAACCACGAAAAGAGCCTACAGAACACATTGAATATCACACACAAAGGAGATTTAAGCAGCAGCGAGAACCACTTGCAAGAGATTCGATGGGACAGGGAGGACAGACTATGGGATAGAAACTCAGCAGTTAGACAGAAGGGTGCTGCAAATCCCAGTCACCACAAGTTTCCCAAGCCTGGGCAAAGATTTTTGTACATCAGTGTCTTGGCTGATACGTTTACAAGACAAATACAATATGAGAATTTGTTCTTGTTTAACTGTCCTGCTAACTCCTGAGAGCAGCAAAGACAGCTAAATGCCTAAACCTACTGAGCACACCTACGTGAAGGAACAGACTGACTGATCTTCTGAAGTAGAAGGGTAATTTCAAACTTGTGGTTTTGACTCAAGTGCTCCATCTATTCCTTGCAATGCGACTTGGAGTGAGTGTCAGCTTGCACGAGCTGTTTTTAACAACTTGTTTGGTGTGCTGCAGTCCTCAGCATGTGTCTTGTTAGACCTGTTCCATTATTGCTCAACGGTACACTGACAGTAATGCAAGCACACAGAATTTACCTGATAGTAGGCAGCTCTCTGTAACTGCTCACTGGCTCTTTCCACATGGACTTCTGCACTTTCCACATTGGCCTCTATGCTATCTATGGAAAAATAAAAGAACTCACTGTAAAATATTTCAGAGCTTCAGTGTTTAAAAAAAAAAATATCAGAAATACAATACTTTTTACACAAAATACTAGAAAATTTACTCTATGTAGGCAAAATATGTAATTGAACTAAAAAGAAACTTCCTATTATCCAAACGCACTTACCAATCATATCTCCTTGGTCATGAATCATCATGGCTAAATCCTTAAATATCTGGTTGACATCCAAAATGTCTGCCTGAAGAGAACAGTTTGACAAGTTATAACCAACAGTGGTTACAGTTTTTCTAAGCCTTGTTCTTAGTACCTCTTCTGACCATGGCTCAAAACACCAGAACAGATGTCATCATTCACTGACTGAGGTGACTTGGTACTACTGTCTGTGGAACTTGGGACTAATACAGGAGCCTACAATATTCCTGCTACTCAGTATCTGCTTCATCACAACAGCAATTAGCACGGTATGGAATTGAGATGAACACTGTAACATGAGTTGTTCCTACCATTTCTGAAGGACCACCAGCCAACACTGAAGGAAAATATACCTAGTCTCCTTCAAGAGGAGCAGGGAGATTGATCTTGGCATCAATCCTCTCTACAAGGAACTCTGTTCCTCCACCTTCAGATCTCCTCAGCCCATCCCATCAGTTAGCACTGCACGACTTCTTTGGTTTATGTCCCAATACTGTTAACTGTGCAGGATCTACTGGTCACCTCTAATTGCCTGATGGCTGTTTCTCTTTCTTTAATGAGTTCAAGGTCCTGTTCAGTTATTGCCACATCTTCTTCCTGAGACTGCATTTGATTCCAATCTTCACCACTGGAAAGAGATGGAAAGAAAGCACAACTCTTTCTCTAAGTATAGGTCCTTCCACGCTCCATTTATAGCAAACTGCCACTAAGCTACAGTTGAAGATGTCCTACAGAACAGCTCCCAGGTTCCTGGCCTTGCAACCGTATACAGAGACAGGAACAATTTGTGACAATTTACAAATTGGAACAATTGAAAAAAGGGACAGATCAGAAAAAGTGAAGAAGCTGCAAAGCAGTTATATGCATAGAATACTCTATTCTTGGATGTGACAGTTATCTATAGCATTAGAGAAGAAACTTCCTTAACAGTTCTTTTCAAAAAAAATAAGAATTACCTGTACTTTCCCTCCCTCTCACTAAAAAAAAAAATTCTCCAAAAAGGGAGAAATTAGGGTGAAAGTTTTGATGGAGATTTGTCTGCAAGCACAACATTATCAGAACAAAAGAACACCTGCCAAGCATCTGGATGCAGGTCGAGAGGTGATTCTCCCCCTTTACTCTGCTCTTGTGAGACCCCACCTACTAATACTGCGGCCGGTTCTGGTGTCCCCACCATAAAAGAGACATAGATCTGTGGAGCGTGTTCAGAGGAGGGCCACAAAGATGATCCAGGGGCTGGAGCACCTCTGCTACAAGGACAGGTTGCAGGAGCTGGGATTGTTCAGCCTTGAAAAGAGAAGATTTCGGGGGGATCTAATAGCTGCCTTCCAATACCTGAAGGGAACCTACAGGAAGGCTGGGGAGGGACTTTTTACAAGAGTGTCCACTGATAGGACAGGGGGAAATGGGTTTAAGTTGAAGGAGAACAGATTTAGATTAGATCTTAGGAAGAAATTCTTCAGTACGAGGGTGGTGAGACTTTGGAATAAATTGCCCAGAGAGGCTGTGGATGCCCCCTCCCTGGAGGTGTTCAAGGCCAGGTTGGACGGAGCCTTGAGTAGCCTGGTCTAGTTGAGAGGCGTCCCTGTCCATGACAGGGAGGTTGGATTAGATGGTCTCTGAGGTCCCTTCCAGCCTATGGTTCTATAATTCTCACTTGCTATCTAGCGAGATAAGAAGTCTCTGAGTATTTTAATTCATTAGTCTAGTAAGAACTGCAAATTAAATCACACATCAAAAGAGATGTTAAAAACCAAATAACTTTGCACCCAGTCTACCTCTCCTGAGGAGCTGGTACTTCATAACTGCTGCACGAGTTACACCCATGACAGTGGAGGCAGTACCTATACTACAAGGCCATCTATATGTTCCACATAGAAAATTCTTCAAGGGCAACATCTCCCTCGTCTCAACAAGGAGAGGCGTGCTGGAAAGCACTATAACATTCCAGTGTTAGGCATACGACACTAAACAGTTTTAAAGTCTTGAAGCGCCAAAAGAAACAAAGATAGGTCGGAGGCAGCTGACCCATCCAGCAGTTCAACTCTGAGACGACAGTAGGGCTTTCGGATATTTAAGGCAGAAGTTTCTGACATGTGGCACTCAAGAACAACTCCAAATGTGGAGTAGCTGCTGTGTGCCACTCTCTCTCATCGAGCCAAGAGCCTCTGTGTGAACAGGTACCTTGCTTTAGTGAGCAAGGCCTTCAAACTCACCCCAGCATCTGTGAACTGAAGAAGCCAGAAGAGTCCTGCCCCAGGATGTGGAAGCACATGGCTGAGGAAGCAGATGCACACCAAGCAGCTGATCAGATGCAGTGCAGTTTGCAGAGGGAGGATGTATAGATGAGACATGTACGCTAGGTCTCTTGATGTAGAAAGTCAAAGGATTTATACAGATAGGGCCAACAGATCTCACCTGCAGTAGAAACTGCCACAGTAATCAGGTATTTCTGGAGCATCTTGAGTTCTCTTTACTCACACTGTAGAGTTGATATAATGTTTTACAAACTCATCTACCATGCAGGCACACTGACTGCAGAACCAATCCAACTGCCTGACAGGTGACAGCAATGCTGTCTTGGCGTGCATGGTCTGGGATTAGTCTGTCAGTGCTAACAACTGGGACTTCTGAATTTAAGGCAGCCTCATCCACCAGTCTGTTACAGCTCCAACGGGGCTGCTAGATAACACCCAAACCCATGAAATAAATATACAGCTCTTTGTGGAAAGAGTCACAGTGAGGGAAACCAGGGCATCAAGGGCAACATGGACCAGTTGGAGAGGGTCCAGAGGAGGACCACGAAGATGATAAGAGGGCTGGAGCACCTTTCCTATGAGGACAGGCTGAAAGAGTTGGGGCTGTTCAGCCTGGAGAAGAGGAGGCTCTGGGGTGACCTTATAGCGGTCTTCCAGTACCTCAAGGGGGCCTACAAGAAAGATGGGGAGAGGCTGTTCAGGAGGGCCAGTTGTGATAGGACAAGGGGTAATGGTTTTAAAATAGAGGGAGGTAGATTCAGGTTGGATATTAGGAAAAAATTTTTTACCTTGAGAGTTGTAGAACACTGGAACAGGTTGCCCAGAGAGGTGGTGGATGCTCCATCCCTGGAGACGTTCAAGGCCAGGTTGGATGAGGCCCTGAGCAACCTGATCTAGTTGGAGATATCCCTGTTCCTTGCAGGGAGGTTGGACTAGATGACCTTTGAAGGTCCCTTCCAGCCCTAACCATTCTATGATTCTAAATGTCAGTGATAAAAGGAGGGCTAGGGAAAATACAGGCCCTCTCCAGAAGGAAATGGGAGACCTGGTCACCTGGGATATGGAAAAGGCTGAGGTATGTAATGACTTTTTTGCTTTAGCATTGACTGGCAAGTGCTCTAGTCACACTGCCCAAGTTGAAGAAGGACTGGGAGAACAAAGAACCATCCACTGTAGGAGAAGATCAGGTTTGAGACCATCTAAGAAACCTGAGGGTGCGCAAGTCCACGGGACCTGATGAGCTGCATCCATGAGTCCTGAGGGAAATGGCAGATGAAATGGCTAAGCCATTATCCATCATATTTGAGACGTGGCAATCCAGTGAAGTTGAAGTTCCCACTGACTGGAAAAGGGGAAAAACAGCCCCCGTTTTTAAAAACGGAAAGAAGAGACCCAGGGAACTACAGGCCAGTAAGTCTCGCCTCTGTGCCCCACAAGATCATGGGGCAGATCCTCCTGGAAACTATCCTAAAGCACATGGAAAAAAAAAGTGATTTGTGACAGCCAACATGGCTTCACTAAGAGCAATTCATGCCTGACAAATCTGGTGGCCTTCTACAATGGGGTTACAGCGCTGGTGGATAAGGGAAGAGCAACTGACATCGTCTGCCTGGACTTGTACAAAGCATTTGACACTGTCCCACACAACATCCTTGTCTGTAAACCAGAGAGGCATGGATTTGATGGATGGACCATTTGGTGGATAAAGAATTGCCTGGATGGTCACTCTCAAAGTGTTGCAGTCAACAGCTCGA